CCTCGTCGTTACTTAACGTTTCATCCAAATCGACATTTCCTCGATGCATCAACGGCGTTGTAAAGTTAGTCGACATGCTTGTTCCAGTGTACAACTGCGATTCAGCCTGTAAGTTCAACGGCGTTGGTGGTAGTCTACCGTGAAGTTCTTGATAAAACTGGCTATAAAGTGAACTGCATTGTTCCTCAGACAGTCGCCTGATTAACGCAATCACTGTATTCTTCATGCTCGGCTGGCTCAATTGCATTGGGAAATAATTCTCAACTGCAATACGAGTCAGATAAGTATCAGAGTGTAACCACCTATCACAAATTGACTGTAAGTTCACATCAGTCATACTGTGTGTACAGTAAGCCAATATGTGCCGACGTGGCAAACCGTTTTCAATGGAAAATGTACAGGAGCAGCGCATGGAATCACGGTGTACATTGTAAGTCCCTGTTGCGTCCACAGCCGTGAATAAGTCAACAGACATTACAAACTCCGTCAAAGGAGTGCGCAGGTGCCGCTTCAGTACTTGACATGCAGCTGGTGTCAGTCGTTCCTGAAGTCCACGCATTGCTGGCTCTTGGCCGATGTTGGCTTTTACCCGGCAATCTGATGTATATTTCTGTAATCTTGCTTCCATCCAATATCCAACGCGAAGTAGCACACTAAAAATAGATCTCAGCACAGGTGTTTTTCGACTCAGTTGATGCATCTTCAAAATTCGGTGACTTGTCTCAACAAAGTTCGTATTGTTGAGTTGAAGTAGCGTTGCTGATGGTCGAAAAGCTGTAGACCATTTGTGTTTTCTCGGTAATAGGTGGTCTCTGACATATCGGGCAAACGTTCCGTCCGATATTTCGATCAAGGATAATACATTGTTAAAACTACAAAATAATGTTATGTTGCTTTTGATTTACCTTTCAACCGTTTGAGTAAACATCAGGCGCACTCCTTTGACGGAGTTTGTAATGTCTGTTGACTTATTCACGGCTGTGGACGCAACAGGGACTTACAATGTACACCGTGATTCCATGCGCTGCTCCTGTACATTTTCCATTGAAAACGGTTTGCCATGTCGGCACATATTGGCTTACTGTACACACAGTATGACTGATGTGAACTTACAGTCAATTTGTGATAGGTGGTTACACTCTGATACTTATCTGACTCGTATTGCAGTTGAGAATTATTTCCCAATGCAATTGAGCCAGCCGAGCATGAAGAATACAGTGATTGCGTTAATCAGGCGACTGTCTGAGGAACAATGCAGTTCACTTTATAGCCAGTTTTATCAAGAACTTCACGGTAGACTACCACCAACGCCGTTGAACTTACAGGCTGAATCGCAGTTGTACACTGGAACAAGCATGTCGACTAACTTTACAACGCCGTTGATGCATCGAGGAAATGTCGATTTGGATGAAACGTTAAGTAACGACGAGGATGACGTAGTTTCTATAAACTCAGAAGAGTTAACAGAACGGGACATCCAAAATGAAGAAGATGAAGAGAACCGTTTGTGTGACATCTGTAATCTTGCACAGCCACCCTATGAAACTAGTGATGAAGTGGGTTGGGTTTTCTGTCCTTGTGAAGCTATGTTTCATAGATTCTGTGCTTATGACCCATCACCGAACGTACGAGCAGTCCACTGTCCGATGTGTGGCGCCATTACCAACTAATAGTTTGGACGTCCCACCGCGAGAACGATTAAAGGCCCTAATCAGGGCCACCCACAAATTGATTTAAAGGCATTTTTCCCAATATTGTTTTTGTCTTTGGCAAAGGTCAAGGGATTAAGCACTTTTTAATGTCGAATGCATTTAGATATACCTTAGATATTAATAATCGATAAGCAATTATCGCTCATGTATTCGTAAACTTGTTTCTAATGTATAATACATATAAAGGTTAAGAAAGCAGACAAGATTTTGTCATTTTATGAACACTTATCTAATAATTTTAGATGTAAAATAATGTGATTACCGTTCATGTCTTAGTAACATATTTGTAAACTATCTATTACTAGTACATTTTAATAGGAATATTTTAAAATAGTGAAAATCGTTATTTTGTCGTTAGGTGAATAAATTTATGATGACATTTATTAGTGAATATAATAAGATAGTTACAAAGATGAATGTGATTAAAGCTCATAGAGAAGTAAACAAAATTGAGAAAAATATCTTCCTTATGAATAAGATACTGACATTATAAAACAAGTTGAAGCTGTCATCATTGAAATCAGTAATCTGATTAAAAGGTCATATAGTAAGTGTTAAAAGAAATAAGAATATTATCCGTTTCATGAATACAAAATGCAAGAATTTCATATTCCAGTTTTATATTAATAGTACCTGAAACCAGAACTAAGCGTACGTATGAATTAAGTCCGATCGTCAACTAAGCCTTCATTGTTATTCATAACCACTGATTATATCAACGTATTCATTTGCACACCCATATAACTATTAATTACTGGTACAATCACACTATACAGTTATAAGTCCATAATTTCCATATTTTATAAAGGCCGAAAATATGTCATGGCATTAATGAATTTGACAATGTAATGTATTAACAATGGTGAACGTTTACATCTGTTACGACATATATATATATATATGTATATATATATATATATATATATATATATACTTACAAATTGTAACATTTGCAAATTAGAAAGGTCAGGATTATTTGCAGTAGTGTTCAGTCACAATAAGTGGAAGAGCATTATAGGAAAATTTAAAATGCAAAAAATTTTGTGTCAATGAAATGCATAGTCTGAGAATTGAATCTTGTCAATTGACATAATAATAATAATAATAATAATAATAATAATAATAATAGCATTGTAAATGTTCATTGATACAGTTGACCTTATTCATATTTATACGTTTAAAGTCGATAGATATTTGTTGAGTCAGTCAGACGACGTAGGCTTGTTCATTTACACTTCATGAAACTGATATTTCAAATGCTTGTCAAAAATGGTTACATTCATAATGTCTAGATAATTCAGGTTTCATATTACGGTTAACAATATTCACACATGACTGATTAAACACACTAGTTTTTATTACGACCAAAAAGTTAATTTTAAAATACAGAACTACAAATAATTTACAAGTGAACACAATAAACCCTTTCAATGGACTTTTAAAATTAACCGCATTGAAATCTAACGTTTTCTAATTCTCATTAAGAATGAACATTTACAAAAAAAAACGTTCACTAAATATTAAGTGCCTATTTCGGTTAAATTTATTACTACATTCATATACTGTCAAAGTCAGTTCATGCAATGATGGTCTACGGTTGCTTCACCTGAATCATAAATATTGCAACTAGTAAGTTATCATGATGATTTATTAATATGTTGATTTGTTTCTCGAACTAACAGACCATGTGTTACCAAAAAACCTATGCATACACTTTAGTGATAATTTGTTTATTAATTTGGTATTAAAGATTGGACTACCGACCTTACTCAGTAATCACTATTATCAAATATTCAAACCGGTTTTCAGTTGCTTTTTTCCAAAAACTTTCTTTTTATGTGATATATATAAGTACTCGTTACATTAAAATTGTTGATCGGAAATCAAAAATTTATCCCAATACGCATTCAGCAACAGTAGGATTGCACTTAAGTTGGTGTTTTTTTTCTATAAATGTCTAAATTTCTTACAAGACTTACATTACACAAAAAGATTTATTCATTATCGTTAAATTTCAAATGTAAAAATCAAAATTCTGACATCCAATCACAGCTCTAGATACGATTTCAATTTCAACTAATCACATTGCAAAGATGAACAGTTTACGACCAATTACAAAATTATTAAAGGTGACAAAATGTTTGTTCATTATCACTTGAGCACACACCTGCAAAACAAGTACACCAATCACCGATCGCTAAATTTTTCTTTGACACCATACATTATTTTAGAAATGGGTGGTAGGGAATCTTAATTGCCGTGGGCAAAATGTCAACCCAGTGTTACATTTTATTCAGTACGACATTGCGTTTATATTTTCCAGTGTAACGTTATTTTAGGTCAATATATTCCATATCAGTTAAATGTAAATTTGGTCCAATATGGCAGGTGTGAACTCTCTCCCAGTTTGGCAATTATATTCTTTACGTTATTTTTGTTTGAACTTCGTTTGTGGTTTAAAGTAAACCTGTATATGTTTTCATTTATATGGTGCCTATTAACTAATCATCAAGTGTGTAAAAGCGGTTTTTTATTGAGTGTATTCGGTCTAACTTCGTCTGCTTTTGCCTCTTTCACTTGTTATGGAATTCCCTGTTGTTCCCGTTCCGAAGTACAAGCAAAGGATCGCAGATACTATAATCCGTTATCGATATTAACACTAAGAAATAATGTTATTGATCCCCTCATTACTTTACCCTTTTTCATGTGATATGTTCTCAACATCCGCCAAAGCAAGTGGTGTGACTCCGAAGTGTTTAATAACTCCTCTCATTTCATTCATTCAAACCTTTGGATGATATAATCAAACGACTGTTCGCTTATACATACATATACTTTCGTCACTGAAAAATAAGCTACGTTGTGGTATAGAATACAAAATCATATTTTTGGATTATATCAACTTTGGGTTTAGTACTGTTGAGATCTTTACGCTTGTTTTTATTTACTTTTAACACAATGATACTTTTACTTCTGACTTTCACAACATGAAAAAATGTAACTTGATTGAATGGAAGTCAGATATTAATCTGCCTTCATTTAAGTTATTGTTCATGACTTTCCCTATTCCCATTAAAATATATTGTATGTGGTGTTTTTCTGTTCAAGTTGAATATTAGTTTTGATCGCTGCGTTAATCTTCATTTATTATGGACATAATAAATTTGAGCTGTAAACATACGTAAATGAATATGCATTCACTGTGTAGATTAGAGTTCTACGTCTATCTTTTCTGTAATGAAATTTCATGTTAATCAGTGTTAATGCATGATTTACTTTTTTCTCCAGATTCCATGCAACGCTATATCCTTGCCCAGATTCGCAAGCTGATCGACGTAATATGGCCATTGAAGTGATGGGTCAGATCCAAGATTTAGAAACAGTGCTAACGCAAACTAGGCAGCATCGTCAACGTATTTTAGAAACGGCCGCTAAAAATTTACGTACCTGGTTTATAAGGGTTAGGAAAATCAAGGCTATCTATCATACTTTAAATTTGTTCAACCTTGATGTAACTACGAAATGTATGGTTGGGGAATGCTGGTGTGCAGTGAATGATGTGGACAAAATTAATTTAGCTCTACGTCGTGGTATGGAACGCAGCAATAGTACTCTACAGCCGATTTTAAATGGAATAGTAACTACGGAAAATCCTCCGACATACCATCGAACAAATAAATTCACCTATGCTTTTCAAAGCATCATTGATGCTTACGGAGTCGCACGTTATCGAGAAGTCAATCCAGCTCTGTTCACAGTTATCACATTCCCATTCCTGTTTGCTGTAATGTTTGGAGATGCTGGTCATGGATTGCTTATGTTTCTTTTCGCTTTGTGGATGGTTGTATGTGAGCGAAAATTAAGCGTAAGTTTGGTTCAGAATTAAATCTTTTTAAAATCTAATACTATTAGTTATATATATAATTTACTCAAGTTTGGACACAACTCATTTTGTAAACTTTGTTTCTTGCTAACTAACTTGCAAACTAATTTTCATATATCTTTTAAATAGCGTATAACTAAACTTATGCTAAATTCATTAACCTTAAATAAATCGATAAACGCATCACTTTTTAGTTGATAACATTATGTTACATAATTAAAAATTCATTTATTTGTATGTCGAAGTCATTTCCTGTGCGTTTTCTTAATAATGCAAGCACACTTTTCTATTTACCTGAATGATTTCTCTGTGTCATACACCCTGCGGATTGGAGTATGACTTTAGACCTTATATCAAACTTCATCATATGCTTTAACTGCGTACACTTTACATTAATATTATGAAATAAATATCCTTAGTTTTAGATGCTTTACTAATCAAGACCTGTATATGATCAGATTATTGTATTGATAGAAATCATGTACATGGAAAACTACTAGAACAATACCAATTAATCCGAATGATACAAAAGGACGTTTCCAGATTCACTATTTGTTACAACTTTTTCAGTCATTCCAATGCAAAATAGGATTATGGTACAACACAACTATTCAAGTGTCGAAAGGTATAAAAAGCACTAAACAATGAGTGATAATAAAATGTTAAGGAAATTAATATCAAAACTCAATGGTTCCGGAATGTATCACCTAGAGACCTCATTAATTTTTATTGTTCAAAAGAATCTATTCAGAATACCCTTGATCCTGTTACATACTTCGAAATCAGTCAGTGACTTTTCGAATTGTGGGATTCCCTAGTCTTACAATCCACGCATTGTTTCCAGCATAATATATTAACAGACATTGCAAATCATGGTCGGTGACAATTCGGTATATGTAATTCGTGAGGTGAATAGGGACTAATGACGGAATCCTTTTCATACCTCTTTAATCAGCACTTACATCCATAAACTAAGTTTTAGTTAACTCTTCATGTAAATCGATAACCATGTACAAACTTGATTTCATACCAGGTTTGTTATTTGAGGATAGATAATATTCAAACTTATGGTCAGATGGTTAAAAGCAAATATATGAACCACTTAATTATATCAATTTTCAGCTCGCTTGCGATTAGTCTTGTCATTTCAATGTTGTAAAACTTAAACTTCAACGTGTCCACTACACGAAAATGCATTTTGGTTTTTTTTTATATTATAGTAGATTCACTGTTCTGTGTGTACTGTAGGGAAATTTCATACAAATATGTACTGGCCGTAATCTCAGCACACTATAGAAATCAGGCATTCCATAATGAGTTAATATGTAGAAAAGAAATGTAAAACAAACTGTGAATGAAAGATGGTGTTGTGGCGTTACTCATTGCTGTTACCTTTTTTACTTTTAATATGTTTTTAGGCTAATAAGTCCGGAGGTGAGATTTGGAATATATTTTTCAATGGTCGTTATATTATACTTCTTATGGGTTTGTTTTCAATTTATACTGGATTGATATACAACGACATATTCTCTCTATCTGCCAACATTTTCGGGTCCTCATGGTATCCAACTTATGATAATAGTGCTTTATCAAAGGAAGTTAGACTCCAATTAGAACCTCGAACAAGCGTTAATGTGTCGGACCGAATGTATGCTGGATATCCTTATCCTTTTGGTTTAGATCCTGTATGGCAGTTATCTGGTAATAAAATCATGTTGACAAATTCGATCAAGATGAAGATGTCTGTCGTACTGGGAGTATTACACATGCTATTGGGCATTAGTTTAGGTGCTTTCAATTACAGGTAAATTCTTTTTATAATTTTGTTTTCCATGTTTCCTATAGTACATGTCTTAAGAGATGATCTTTGTATCATCTGTTATTCCTAGTAGCTCTTTCCTTTTTATCGTTACATCATTTTCATTAGAAGTTTGTTCTATTGAATATTAAACAAATGTGATGATCGCATCCTACTTTTATTTCGCTTCAGTTCTCATCTCATGTGGCTATTTTCGAGCATTGAGATATCAAAGTTGCTGCTTTCATCACTCAACGTTCGCGTTAATAGTTTATATATATATATATATATATATATATATATATATATATATATATATATGAGCCCAGCTAGTTTTCTGGTTTAATTTGATCCCAGGTGTTACAGTCAGGTTTTCTGCGTGCCATAGAATGATGACGACTATAAAGTGACAGTTATCAGCATAGTTATTAGGGATAATTTCTCAGTAGGTTACCTTGTGAACACTGGCTAGAAATAATAAGACTAACTTTGTAGTCGCGAGAATCGAGAATCAAGGAGTGGAATAAAAGATTACTCAAGTGGGACTAGCTTCTGCTTTGTATACAGACAATTTGGAAATAGAATAAATTGGATTTATGTGTACGACACTAAACATGTGTTTTGTACATCTTTTATCTAAATCTGAAATAACTGATAGAATGTGATAGGAATTTATTGGAAAAGTTCCAACTAATGATCATGTAACTTGTGTATCAGGTCTATGTTTATATAAATAATTTCAGATAATTTTTTGATTAATGATACTACATGTTTACCCAAACAACTCGTTACTTAGGAATAAGAGTTAAACAATCGAATATAAATATTCATTGTTATTTGTAAAATAATCAATATGCAATTCATAAAACGGGTTGTGCACATCATTGTACTTTGTAAATTAACATTTATTTCGATCAAATCTTGTGTCAAGTTATATCCTAATTGGTATTTGTCAAATCATGTTTATTTGGGTTATTCGGTTTTCATTCTTTTTAAAGGTATTTATTCTGTTTAATTTAAGTAATTAGCTGGTTTCACTTTGCCACCTTTCACTTTCCTATTCATTTCGAGTGCTCAGAATTCATCTAATGCAGACGATGTGAAGAATATGTTTTCTTTCAAACCTAACTCAGCGAAAGTTTAGTTGCTTCTGATTTTCGAACTTTTCAGACCTTTACCGGAGACAAATTTTATCTGTTAATAAAGAAATTGTTTTCCTTTTTCATTATTTTACTTTGTTATTGGTTTTTACATATATTGGATATCCACTTCAATGGTTTTTGTATTCTCTTTCTATAGTGTTTTTCGTTATTGTACTTTCCTTAATTTATTTTTATTCTCTTAGAAATAATAAAGATAACTTATCGATTTGGTGCTTACTGCTTCCTCAAATCCTTTTCCTGTCATGCATCTTCCTCTATTTGGTGATATTAATCTTTTTCAAATGGGTTGCGTATACGGCGGAAACGGCATCCTCTGCACCAAGTCTTCTTATTGGTAAGTTCTCAAATTTTTTTCGGATAAAGTGCTCTACTATTATGTGGAAAGTTAATCATAATATCTGGAAAATATCACCACAAACAAAATAAGCATCGAGTTTTTCTTCATCCTAACTGATGCAATGATTATTGGTTGTTTGTTGCCGTCGTTTTTGTTACTATGTATAGTTAGCCTTTTTATGTTTTTGCTTGTGTAAGAAATCTTTTTTCCTGTAGTTTAATCGATGTGTTAATGGTCTAATCTTCTGCTATTCATTGAAATCACGAACCGATCAATGTTCGACCACCATGGATATTCACTTGCTTATCATTCAAGATTTGATTTCTTCAGGTGGATCGTCTTACCGAATGCACTTTGATAACAAGAAATTCGATAGTCTTGTTGTTTCTCTACGGGTATTACATAGTGCTTTATTTTGATCTTTGTTCGGCATTTGATCTGTTTAGTTACATTCGTTTAGATATGATACTTACAGTAATACATGATTGATTTAAAAACCGGTTTATTAGCTTTTAGATAAAATATGTGTGCCATCATGAAGTCTAATTGGTACTTTTGTTACGACTCTTATTGATTATACTGCGTACGGATAGTTTTACGTTCTGCATTAGCTTTTGACTCGTCATTCTTCATTTGAAATAACCGGTCCTATTTTTAAAAAAATATTTCTATATCTTTTAAATTGTATTTTCTCAGGATTGATCAATATGATCCGTTTCAGTTATTCGGATGAAATTCCTCCTTTGTATTCTGGACAGGTTAGATTTCCGTTTTTTGTGATCTTGGGTTTAATTATTGAAAATATCGCTAACACTTTTAGTGGATCGTAACAACCAGTCGATAATGACTGATAATTCTGTTAGTTAACAATTTCATACCTAGTATTCAGTACCTGGTACATCATTATAGTTTACATCCCAGATATTCTCACATTTCATAAAAAGTACGTTTATGGAATTTATGTTCATACGTAATTTAAATTACCATTCACTAGTTTCACTACTGTGTTTGAAAACCTAGATAATGAGTTCCAAACAGCGCGAAGTTCTTACTTCGCTATTTGAGATACTATTATGAATGCCAGTTACTTTTAACTTGAACATCAGTTTACGCTCAATAACTAACTAGGGCGTTGAGTTGGATACCGAGAATTGCAGATTTAGAACAATGCCAATTTATAAACAGAGATAAATAGTAGTTGGTGGTGAGACTTAGGATTCGGGTTTCGTCCCTGCGTGGGACTCGTCAGCTGAGTGTACCATCGTTTCAGTGTTGATGTTCACTCCCAGTGCTTGAACTCAGTCCCTTTCGCTTCAATTACTCATGTGTTTCACAATTAGTTACTGAGCCACTGGCTTATATAACATGAAAGAATTATAATTCATTTTTAAGGTTTCGAATCCTCCCATTTTCGCTTAAAAATGCTTTTAACTGACTGCAGTATAAAGGTAATCCGCTCGGTGTCCGTTTATGCCAAAAAAATACAGATCAATTGCAGTCTCTGACATCATCGACAGGGAGATTTAAACCCTTATAACCGAATGGTTATTTAGATGCTTGTTTCATCAAATCGTTTCATAAAAACATTCTTTCGCTGAGATTTTACAAATATATTCTTCCTCTTTAATTACTTATTACATTTTATAATGAACCATGAAAAATAATATGGTCAAGACAATTACTTAAATATATATCTTTTTAGTAATGTATAATATTGTCTACCATAAACTCTCTATTAGTCACTGTACAGTTGAGATGTTATCAAAAATTGTATAATAAACCGTCTACATAAGTAAGACATAAAACGACAGGTTTGGCATTTCATTCATAAAGTATTTTTGTGTGTTAAGAACCGTGAAATTCATCCTTGATTTAATGGATATTAAAGCTGCCAAAATTCCAAATAGAAAAAATGAAGAGCAAATTAATTAATAAAATTTTTGTGACTCATTTAATAGACCATTAATGTTGGATGAGTGTTGAATAAACTGTACAAACATGTAAAAATAAAATAATCAGTTAAATCAGATAACTTTAGATTGTGGAAATGCATGCATATGAAGAATGTCGGGTTATTTTATCCACGTTTGACCTATTTGCAATGTTTAACTACTGATATGACTTTTGTTATCGTATTTTATTTGATTATTCTTACTACTATCAGTACACCTGTCTTCCTACTACTATAAACTTGTACTTTTACCTATTATGTGTGGTGACTTATTCTATTTCATTGTGTGATTATTGACCTAAATTACCTTGATTGGTTTAATATTTTCGTATAAATATTCATGTATATTAGATTAAAGTCTAATGATCTAATTGAAGACAATTGTTCGCTTACACGTGTTGTTCTAATCTTAGATTGTTTAAATGTTGATCATATAAACGTGATTTTGTTCCTTTTTTCTATCACTGTACGTTTTACTCTTAATTTTAGAAAGCTGTTCAAAGTATATTGATGGTTATTGCAGTTATATGTGTTCCTTGGATGTTGTTGTCTAAACCCTTAATTTTGTATATGCGTCATCGTGCCATCATGAAGGTAATTAAGTTTATCCGTTTTGTGTTAATCGTATTATCCACCTATCTATGTATAGTGGGAATCTTGATTGACTTATTTTCAAATTACAAGGATACGATTTTGTCTGCAAACATGTGTTTTTTTATTGTTATACTTTGTTTTTTCATCTCAATCTTATGAATTCGGTTTTACTTTCATATATCAAGTAGCTTACGTGTATGTGACCTATAAATAAATAGTAATCCACCGATCTAGACCTTTCACATTAATTCATATCAGTATTCAACAAATTGACTACGTTTAATGTAGTGCTTAGTTGCAAACTGATCAGTATTGTTTATTTATTATTCAGATTTTCAAAGTTGTGCGTTTGAGCGTGTTCACTGTATTTGTAGTTACTTTTTAAAACATATTCAAAATGTTTATGAAAAGAAAGTAATTATTACTTGAGAATTTCCAAGGAAAATACTTATTCAGTGGTTGTATATCATTAGGTAGGTACTAGTTTAATGATATTTTGCAGAGTATAGTATATTGTTCAATTTTTGTTAAGTTAAATTGGGCCTACTGAAAAATTTATTATACCAAGTATTATCCATTAGCTTAATTATCAATTCGACGCTGTTTGAAATTTACTTTCATTGTAACTAATATGCATACGTTGTTTTTACCTTTGCTCTTTTTATTTTGTAAAACACTTAAACTTATTGTGTGAAAATAGAATAGACATTATGTGGATCCTGATGCAAGTGTGCATGTGGTCATTGGTGGTGTAACAAATCCAAATATGGATGATAGTTTCATTGGTGATAATAATGGTATTATGTACAGTGACATGTCTCCACTACATAGATCGTCATCTGAAAAACGTTCTAAGGTTTCATTAATTAGTCGAACAGATTCACCAAGTAGTCATGAAGTTCATAAGGTGAGAATTTTTAAAAAAAAATACTTTTCTTCCTATTTCTTTACTAACTCTTTCATGTTTTTGCTATTTATTTAAAAAATTATTCAACGAAACAAATAAAAATTATCCGTTTATGAGGCTCGTGGCCCTGCCATTCACCCTGATGTTTCAACTAAATCATCCGAAAAAATAGCATTAGACGGTAATGGTCTTGGAGATGGAAGTGGTATAGGTTCGATGGATATGCCTGTGGAGTCTGTAAGTATCTTAACTGCGGTTCACTAACCGATAATAAGTGTTGTGTGTTCACGTTGTTGTCACTTTTGAATATATCCTCATTGTCGTGCATACAATTTTCACTTGTATCTGATAGCCTGTATAACGTGTTGGTAATCTGATAAGTGGTTACCCTATTAGGAAACGAATACTTAACTTCTGTGTTTAAGTTTTTATTTAATCGATTCACGGTTAAAATTTGTATGCCACCCTTTTTATATAATAAGAGCATGAAGTAAACCACAGGCTAGTATGTAACTAAGCTGGCGAAGGGTTTTTCACGTAGTTGTTATTGTGTGTATCATTAACTTGAAATAACACCCTCCATTTTTTGTTGTGTAACTATTGTATCTGTTGTCCTAAAATGTTGTTTTTTATTTTAAATGAATGTATAACTATATGGGTATGTTGCATTTATTTCCATGTATTTCAGTTTGATTTCGGAGATATAATGGTTCATCAAAGCATTCACACGATTGAGTTTTGCTTAGGTTGCATTTCCAACACAGCTTCTTACCTTCGACTATGGGCTTTGAGTTTAGCACATGCGCGTAAGTGGTACATTTAAAACTTCCATTGTTATACATAGTCTTGTCTTTTTAGAACACTAACACTTTACTTTTTAAAGCTTATCTGAATGTTACCTCTTGCCTTCGTTGCCTACCACTGCTCATGGTTATTGTGTATACTCTTTGTCATCCTACATCCAAATTACCTTGACTCTCTCGTATTTGGAACCTGATAGAATAATAGGTTACCAAGGATTCCTCGTAACAGTATATCCACCAAGTCCACTGTTTTTTTTTAACTTTCTGGTGTAAGCCATTGGTAGATATCACTACTGTTTTCACAGCTATTTGGTTATCGTGTAAACCTACATTTAGGTTAACGTAATTTTACTTCCATAGTTCCTTCTGAAATGTACTCTTGGCTTTTTCATTATAACAATAGACCTTAAGGGATCTCCCTGATGTGGATTTTTCGCATCATACAAGACACAGGGAAACATGTTCTCACTAGATCGTGATCATAGTCTAAATATTTGCTCCAGACCGAACAAAAGTCTTCTATCAAGCTGGTAGCCTATCTTTATGTGAATTTGGAGGGCGCTATGTCATAAGATGTTTCTCTTTATGCTTAAGGTTGGTGCTTGTTAGGAATAAATAGTTTTCTCAGCAAACTTGCAGCCGACGATTGCCATTATATGTTCCCTGTTCGAAGACGCTGAGAGACTCACCTTATTATTTTTTCAGGATGATCTACACTGGCTACTTCGGCATTATAATCAACCTCTACAATTATTTTTTGTATGCTTGGTTCCTTGAAGTTGATCAATATACTTGTCAACTTCATCCTTTTCTTCGTTCAAATTTCAGTCAGCGGAGCGTAGGCGAAAATTAAAAATCGCAAATAGTTTGTATCATTATCCTTACGAACCCCTGGTGTTTGATTTGATTTGATCGCACACATATGACTCGACTGAAAGCCAGTCCAGGGTTACCTGTCCTACTCTAAGACTTGACTTCATACTTGTGCGTGTTGTTCGAACATTGAAAGCTCCAATACGTAGTTTACAGCTCATTTGCAGTAAACTACAAATAACATTTCATGAGCATTGTTGGTTCATTGAGATAAAGGCGACCTTTTAGGAGAATTTTGAGATATGAAAGATAGAATAAATATTAAGTAACGGAGATATTGATCGTGAATAGGATTACCTAGAGTGCTGCTACTACTACTACTCGGTTGCTCACATCGTGAAAGGATACTTCTTACGGTATCCGAAAAAGAGACTTGTTGATTTAGTTATGTGACTGTGTGTCCAAAAGACAACTGTTTATTGCTGGGGACACGGCCTTTTGTTCAGCTACTTATGATTTTAATTCCATTCTTTTCAGACCTTATTGTTTGCTATGGAAATCTGTGAATGATGTACTAATTTATGATCATGCTTTTTCCAAACCATTTCGCTGTGGGAAGACAGGATTACCTGAGATATTAGTTGTTTAAGAGCAACTATTTGCTGTCGTCACATTCCAGCATAATCGGCAGCTTATTTTTACCCGCAGACCTTAAATTTTCGGCTGTTTGTTTCCGGTATGGTAACGGTTACTTAGTGTTGTATTGATCCCGTCCCCTGTCCCGATACTTTCAGGGCTGTGGTAGAACATACATCAAAAATAGGGTTTCTATTTTATTACCTAATGAATAAGTAACAAAAGTACCTTTATTCTTAAATTTTTAAAGTTACTATATCCAAAGCTTGCTCAGTCATCTGATTTTCTTGTCGTCATTGCTAACCCCGATGGGTTACACAGTTCTTTCGGTATATCCGTTGTTTTGTTATAATTTGTGCACATGGTTCCATAATGATACCTTTAATTTCAACCTGATTTTATTTGGTAATGGTCTGTTCATCATACATTACTGCCAATTTGCACTCTTTTAAACAAAGAGTTCATTGTGTCCATCACCAGTCCTTGTTTGATTGTATGAAATGTAGCCGTTATTACGTTTTCCTGAAATCAGATATTTTGCCATTATATTTGTATCTATCTTCCTTTGTCTGTTTGGTATAAGTTATTATTGCATTTTGAAAAAGTTCATTTTCAACTCCTCTTGCTCAGAATTATCGGAAGTCCTTTGGAGTATGGTTATGAGAATGGGTTTACGTATATCTGGTCTATATGGCGGTGTTGTGTTAGCATTTATTTTCGCATTCTGGGCTGTGCTAACCGTTAGTATTCTTTTGTGCATGGAAGGATTATCTGCTTTTCTCCATACACTTCGTCTCCACTGGTAAGTTCATTACTTTGTTTAGAGCTCTTGTTTATTATTTTTTCGTATAAACAGGTTTGTAATTATGACTGATATAAGTCCTCCAAATCTTGGTGATATTGAAAAGTTTATAGTTAGTCTAATACGATGAAGAGCGCCATTCTCTGGTCTATCAACTGTAGAGATCTTAAAGGAAGATGGTCTAAGTGTAATCACTAAGCCGACTAAGATCATATGTATTGTTTGGGGGCTGAACCTAATCCTATCTGACTAGTTTCACTCTCCTATTGTCCCAGTTTGAAGAAAGGACGAAAATCCACGTGTGATTAAAGAAAGAATCGGTTTGGCAGATATAATATCTGAAATATTATCATCTGACGTTTGAATAGAGCTCGTTAAGAATGAACTTAAAGAAATCAGACTGGTTTCGGACCTGGACTGAATATTCATTCCTCGTCAGATTTCAGAACTTAAGCGTACTTACTGATATTCAACTATAATCGTATCGATTTACCCTTCAATACAGCCTTTAACTATGTTGATCGAAAGGTCCTGTGGCATTGTCTGTCATTGAATGACGTCTCAAAGAGTATACTTAAGTCGTATAAAGGTTCTCCACTCAGACAACATTAGTCAAATCAGCTGTTTGATTGAATTTAACGACATTGGAAGCTTGCTTGTGATTCCCTTCTTCCTCTTTAAATACAGAATTTTTCTTCACGCTTGATTTGCGTCAACTCTTGAACTAGTGATCATAGGTAAAGTAGTTGAGTAAGTGGATCACTTCACTTCTTTTAGAGGTCTCATCAGCTTTGGTGTATTGATATCAAATGAAATCTCTGCACGGATTCGGTAAGCTCGATTGACATTTGGTAGCATATGGGATAAGTGAAATATCCACCTTCCGGTCAAAGGACAATTATATTGGGCAGCAGTCTTCTCTGTGTTATTTCACTGATATGAAACATTGCTTTTAAAGTTAAAAACTTACACAGGCTGCGGTTGCTTCTAAAGCATTGCTCACATTTCTTGGAATAACCAAGTAAACGATGTTGAGGTTAGTCATGGTATACTTGGGAAAGATGGCAGATTCGTTAATGTTGTAGTGAATCTTTGTGTTTTGTATGTGCTACATATTTCCAACTACTTCTTGCCTGAACCAATGGTGTTTTCTGGTGTAGGTTGTAAGGAATCTAGGGTTGGCAAAAACAAAGACGTCAGTAGCTCATGAAGCTCGTTAGCAGTTATCCAGTATCATATTGATAAAACGAGTATACTGCGCACCAGTTTGTTTTATTCTACTTTACAACTGCAAAACGTGGCTATTAAGAGTGGAAGATGCTCGTAAGTTGCTAGTATTTGGTCACAAATGTCTTAGAAATGTAGCTCGCATCTGCGGCTCCTCCATTTTTATCATTGCTACTACACTATTTTGATTTTTTTTGTAATTGTTCTTGTTAGCCTTGTTTTGTCCTGTCATGTGGTACAACAGTTTGAGCCAACACAAATTTATCTCTGACTAATACATTGTTTAACACTGCTGACTATTCAACCTTATAGCCTGTACCAAGGTAATTGATGTGCCTAATATGTGGTTCTAGAATAAACGCAAATAATCTGCAGTCACTATAATTATAATTATGTTAACCTGTACCCACTGTATTTTTTCTATTCTTTAAAAAAAACATGAAGTAATCATTTTAGGGTACTGTTCGTAAAAATAAACTTTCTAAAACTATTTATCTTTAACAGGGTGGAATTTCAAAATAAATTCTACAGTGGTGATGGTTATCCTTTCGTTCCATTCTCCTTCGAACATTCCAGCAGTGTAGTCGACAATTAAAATTAGATTTTATTATTTTGCTATGTTGTGTGTGTTCACTTAAATGTATCTTCATAAATGTTGTGATTATTCTTTTAAACTGCTATAATCATTTCATCTACTGGACAGTCCAGGTAATTTAGTACTTATTACTTATTTATTTAACCCTTAAGTCATCATCTACTTAACCGATTTTATTATCCTTGATCATTACACATTGACTGGGTTCGTTTCATATTTATTAATTTTTATGTTGTTAGATCTACTAATAAAGCTGTTCAAATCCACTTTCACATTTTAAGATATTGCTTTATCACTGAGAGTTATTTTTTGTTTTATTTGAACAAACTGTAGACCCAAAAAATGGTTAGCTCAATTCAGATTTAGGATGGTCCAGTCCATTATATACTAAATATACTCAATTTTAATTGTAACATTTCGATAATGAGCGTCCGGAAATTAACAGGTACAATTTCAAAGTCTCCACTACCTAGTCTTACTGATACGTCTTTGTTATACGTAGTGATTTTCGGGTGCTGTAACCTTCAGACTTTCAGAAACAATAGAAACCAAGACAATATAGTATCTAACTGTTTAGAGTCAAACTATGAATAAATCAAGTTCAAATATGTACCAAAAAATTATTAAGAAGGACGGTATTGATAATCGTAGTTTTCAGCTTGTTAGGTGCCTCTATATTCTCTCGACAGTAAAAACGTTCTTTCCACAGGCAAATACCCACAATCCATACGCAAATGGAAATTTTAATTGATCGAACAACAAACAAAAATGAAAAGCCCATAGTAGCCATTTTGAACTGCTTGATTGTTAGAACTCACCAGTACGCCTACAAAACCGAATAACCTAGCTCAATATCTCCCAAAATAATTTTTTTGACAACACCTGTCTTACCCGTATATGCTAAAAACTTCTTGGTGTACCCAACTGATATGCTATCTATTCTTGCTTATCTTCGATAGATGACAATGTAGTCGCGGTTCAAGTTAAGTAGCTGACTCTCCTTAGAATTCTTAATGAGATGAAAGCATTCGCTTCACGTCTTTTCGTCACTCGTTTTTTTCAGGCTCCTTACAACTCATCGAAGCTCGTCGGTCTACTCCGGGTGACCGTGAGTTTGATCATAAACAAAGGCTGTTACGTAATAAAATCGGGCAAAGCTTGCGTAAGGACCGAGAAGCCTGGTGGTCGAAGCGTGCTAATGAGCTGGAAGCAGCAGCTGCATCTGGTAACTACCGGAAGCTCTTCCAACTCATCCGAGCCACTGGCAGCAAGAAGTCTGGTGTGAGCGAAACAATCTACGAGGATGATGGTCAGACTGTCCTGCCCTCCATGGCCGATGACGACTGATTCACCAAATGAGGTGAAAGTCTGCAGGGAACTCCAACTCTTGAAGCGCTACAAATCACCAGGCCCAGATGACTTACCTCCGGCTCTTTTTAAAGATGGTGGTGACTTTCTGGTTAAGGAACTGACAACGTTGTTTACAAGAGTCGGGGAACTAGGGCGTGTACTAACGTGATGGAATGAGTCGATAGTTGTCCCTATCTTTAAAAAGGGTTCACGTCGTTCCTGTAACAACTATCGGGGGATAAGTCTACTTCCGATTGCGTTCAAGCTATTGGCTTCCGTCATACTTCGTAGGTTGTTCAAAACCCGAGAAAGATTGACTCGCGAGAAGCAGGGTGGGTTTCGTTCTGGTCGGGGATGTATTGATCACATCTTCACCCTCCGCCAAATGTTAGGACACCGTCATACTTATCACAGACCAACAATCGTGGTGTTTCTTGACATAAAGGCTGCCTTCGATTCGTTGGACAGCATTGTTCTCTGGGAATGTCTATTGAAGAAGGGTGTACCTGAGAAGTTCATTAACATCTTAAAGGCCCTATATACAAACACCTTTCTTCATTGTTCCACTCAAGCAGTGGGGTTAGACAGGGTTTCCCAATCTCACCATTCCTCTTCAACTTTGCCATTGATGACATTCTGTAAACAGCTCTGATGGATGTAAGTAATGGCGGTGTGGATATGTTGCCTGGCGAAAGACTCCTCGACCTTGAGTATGCGGATGGTATTGTCTTACTGTGCGATAATGCCCAAACCATGCAATCCGCACTTAATCAGTCAGCAATCAATGTCCGTAGGTACGGTATGTGCTTCGCACCTTCGAAGTGCAAAGTACTTCTACAAGACTGGCAGGATTCTAATCCTGTACTCACCCTGGATGGTGAGCAGATAGAAGTAGTCGGGAAGTTCGTGTATCTAGGTAGCTGCATAAGTGCTGGTGGTGGCGTGAGTGATGAGGTTGATTCACGTATAATGAAAGCCAGTGTCTTATGTCAATCTGGGCCACCTTTGGCGCCTTCGTGATGTCAGTTTGGCTGTAAAAGGTCGGATCTACAACGCGTCGGTGAGAGCAGTTCTGCTCTATGCTTGTGAAACCTGGCCTCTCCGGGTTGAGGATGTTAGACGACTCTGTGTTTGATCATCGTTGTCTCTGAAGGATTGCTGACATCCAGTGGCAACACTATGTTAGTAATGCAGAGGTTCGGCATCGTGTGTTCGGGCGCAGAAACGATAATCCAATTGGTGTCACCATCTTGAAACACCGACTTCGGTGGCTTGGACATGTTCTACGAATGTCGTCCCAGAGAATTCCACGTTGTGGATTGTTTGCCGACGCTGGGACTGGTTGGAAAAAACAGAGAGGTGGTCAGTGTGCGACATGGTGTCGGGGTATAAAAGAAAGCTGCAAGGGGCTGACTTCTGTTGGTCCTTCACGACTCCCTGGCTGGGGTCCGAGAGATGGTGAGACACAGTGGCTAGAGACGTTATCAGATATGGCTCATAGTAGAAGCCAATGGCGATCCTGCTGTAACCTTCTTTTACTTTCTTCATAAAAAGTGGTTGTATCTTCCTTAACTGAAAGGATTCTGGTTGTACCTTATTATTATTATTATTATTATTATTATTATTATTATTATTATTATTATTATTATTACGCTACCTTACACTAATCTGTGGTCGTTATTGTTCTTTTTTTCCTTATACGCACCATACCTTCTTTTTCTCTTCCCATTCTCATTGTTTTGTGTGGTGCATATATATTTGGTGCCCCTTTGTACCAATATTTGTGTTCAAATAAATAAATAGTCACACCATGTCTCTGTACGCAAGGTCTGCTACGTCATGGCACATTTCTTCATGATCGTACTTAACTAGGCTACCCTTTCGCAAAGCTAGGTGGGCTAAAAATGTTAAGACAGTTTCCTTCAAGACATCACCTATGCAATTCCGCACTTATGATCTTGGCTCAAACTGCTCCTGAAAGCTTCAAACGTATGATTTTTTTCGAAATGATTGTGCTTTTTGTTGGAAATGTCTCGAATATTCATCCGTATATACCCACAAAGTCTAAAAATTCTTATTTCACATCCAGTATATATAAAATTAGCGTGTGAATGTGCTAAGCTGAACTTCTTCCAATATTCTTAGAAATAATTTTCATTGGCATTCGAATTCCTCTCAATGTGTACGCGAAGTTGTCCTGATAGTTCGAATTACGCGTTCTGCATTCCGGTGTCTTTTTAATTTCGTTGTGTATAGTAAGGCAATGATATATAAAACTCCCAAAAAGGAACAGACTCACAGTTGCAATTGGGTGTACCAGATCGCGACGGTCTCACCAATGATGATGTCACAGGTATTCAGTGTTTGACAACGCTTCTACCAGTAACACCTAATGTATTTCGTTCCCACCAAGAGAAATCAAAAGACAGAGTCGAGGATATCGGAAGAGTATATTTGGCGATGACCAATATATCGGAATTCTCTGATCTAATCTGGCTAGCGATTGCGGTTGATGTTGAGCATGGCGTTACCTTACGTGATCTGGTGCGGATGCATGACCGAGCGCCTTCAGCTAGATGAGTCCACTAAAACATATGGTCAGCATCCAATGTCGAAAACTTACAGAGCTATTTAGTTTAAGATTTGTTTACCGCTACAGATCACTCCCCCCCTAGTGGGGCAGTGATGACCCTAAGACGTGGCCAGCCAGAAGTTTAAACCCAACGAGTTTGTCGTTGATAAACACTCTTCTGATAGCTTACAAAATTTAGCAGCGTCTGGTCGTCTTTCCTTACTATATGGGACGGAGGTACAACATAGTGAAAAAAGAAAATGTACAATGAAAATTTCGGATCCTCATAAACGTCATCGTTCTTTTCCAGCCGTCCTGGAAAAGAAAATGTAAGTGCATGTCGAAATACACTCGTATGTGCGTTAAAACACAATGTCGGCGGAAAAAAAGGGAAATAAACTCATGAACACGTAATAGCGTTAAAAAAATTTGTTTTTTTTAAATAGAAATAAAAATATATAAGCATATTAAAATTGTTTTTTTTAAAAAATAATATAAAATGTCGAGAAGTGCCTTACAAGTAATAGTCGTTTAAATGTTCTGGAAATCTCACCCTTCTTCCAGAACGCGTCGTTTAAAGTTTATTTTCGGATACTGTCGAAGCATTATCGCTAGTGTTGGTTGTCGGTTGAGGAATTATGAGTGTAGGAGTCGTGTTGTGCGATTGTACCGAAGGAAAGTCGACGTGAATAGGATTTCCTTCTAAATACGCTGCTTTTAAGCGATCGATGCTGATGCTATCGTTGGTTCCGTTTTTATCGACTATATAGTACTTAGATTCACGTTGAAGAACTTTGAAGGGTCCTTCGTATGCTGATTCGAATGGTCGTCGATGCGAGTCTCGACGAACGAAAACGTGTGTACTATATTGTAAGTCAGGTTGAACGATAACGTCAGTTGATTGAGGTCGAGTTGAAGCAGGTTTAACTGAACGCACTGCATATGTAAGCCTGTTCATGTAGGAGGTTAGATCCATGTTCATTGAAGAGGATGAAGGATCCACGAATTCTCCTGGAAGTCGAAGTGTCGTTCCATAAACGAGTTGAGACGCAGTGTATCCAATGTCAGCTTTCACTGCATTGCGGATACCTAGTAAGACAAGTGGAAGAGCGTCGGTCCACTGTGAAACGTTTGCAGCTGATAGTGAAGCTATTAGTTGTCGGTGAAAACGTTCTACCAACCCGTTTGCTTGTGGATGGTAGGCGGTCGTTCGGAATCGAGTGATTCCTAAAAGTGTGGTCAGACGACGGAAAAGATCAGATTCAAACTGACGTCCGTGGTCTGTGGTGATGGTTGAAGGGCAACCGAAGTTTGCTATCCATCGTTCGACGACGGTGCGGGCCACTGTTTCAGCAGTGATGTCCTTGATAGGTACTGCTTCTGGCCATCGAGTGAAACGGTCTACGCAGGTTAAGAGGTAAGAGTATCCATTTGAATCTGGTTAAGGTCCTATCAAATCCAGATGAACATGGTCGAAACGAGCCTAAGGGACATTTATTGTGTCTGGTAACCTTAGATTTTTGGCAGCTTACACAGGAGCGTGCCCACTCCCTCACGTCTTTATTCATTCCAGGCCAGCAAAACCGTTCTGCTATAAGCTTGATGGTTGCACGAACACCTGGATGCGAAAGTTTGTGCAATGTGTTGAAGACATTGCGTCGATAATGTTTCGGCACGATTGGGCGATCCCTACCTGTAGATGTGTCACAAAGTAAGGTTTCCTTACCTGTTCCAATCTGTTTGATGCGTAGTTTAAGTGTTGTGGACGATAACTCGAGCTGAAGATCACTGTCTTCTTTTTGAAGCTCGGCGAGTTTAAGGAGGTCGATTCCTTGGAAACTGTTCAAGGAAGTTATTCGAGATAAAGCGTCTGCAACTACATTGTTTGCTCC